CATGGAATATTCTAGAGTATGAAGATGAAATTCAGCCAAAAATTCTTGTGAAGTGTTCTTTGTAACCAAGGCTTCTGTTTGTCCAGTTTTGTTGGCAAGAATGACTACATGTCCAGAGCATCTGATTTCATGCTATTTCCTGCATATATATGTATATATATAATATATATATATTAGTTTTGTAAACTTGACACAAGCTAGAGTCATTTGGGAAGAGAGAGCATTAACTGAATTATTGCTTCCATTAGATTGCCTTTAAACAAGTTGGTGTGATTTATTTGCTTTATGACTGATTGATGTGGGAGATCCTAACCCACTATGGGTGGTGCCACCACAGGGAAAATTTTCCTGGGTGCCATAATGGAAGAATCAGGGTAAGTTGTAGAAGGCCAACCAGTAAACAGTATTCTTCCATTGCCTGTATTTCAGTTCTGGTTCAGTTCCAGTACTGACTCGCCCCCCCCCTACCCCCCGGTGACTGACAAGAGTGCCAAATAAACATCTTTTGTCCAAGCTGGTTTTCTTAGTGCTTTACTATAGTAATCAAATACAAAATATGACAATGTGATGGTGGACTCCTTAATTTTATTGAGATTCTTTACTGCCTAACCTCTCATACATCTCCCAAAATCACTATGAGATGTATGCAACATCCTTAGTAAGTGTTCTTGGACATGTTAGGTAAGACCCGTATGTGAGGTCTAACATACTGAGAAAGATAAGAATATGCAGAGCCCTTAAAACACCAACCACTACCTTTTGTAGTGTGTCGCATGTAGTGTTTTCATGTTTATGCATTCACGAGTACACAGCAGAGGTCAGAGAAGGATATCAATGGTCTTCCTGAATGGCTTGATGCCTTAATCCCTTGAGACTGAGTCTCTTACTGAACCTGAAGCCGAAGCTTGCTATTTCTGAAGTATGACATATCAGGGAGCTACTGGAATCCTCTCTTCTCCGTGTTGGAATGCTAGGTCAAAGTTAGCATGGGTATCCCTGGCTTTTCTCAGGCACTGGGGTGTAGTTGATTTTTATCTACTGAGCTATTTATTGAAGCCCTTCTGTTTCCTTTTTCACTATCACAAATGGTGAAGAAATGGACCACAGGGTTTACTTGACTATATCTGCTTTGGGTCTTTATGAAAAGAGCAATCCTGTCAGCAAATAGCAACATCCAGGCAAGTTCTTGAAATTCCAACACAAGATCATTTATTTAGTCAAGTGGATATGGTGTTATGATAAGCTTCATTTTTTTTCTTCTTAGCAACTTTCATTCAGATACATTTAGAATAAAAATTAGAAAGTGCATAAATAAACTCTATCATGATTTACATTGGTATACAAATTTTCTTTTTGAGACATATGCATTTTTAAGTTGATTATGTATGATGCGAGGGAAGGGTGAGGCTAAAATACAGCTTACTTCATATGGATAGAAAATTTTGGGGAAAAAAACTATTCTTGTGTTTGGGTTGTGTTTTTGCCATGAATTTTAATCATACCATCTCATTTGAAGTTTAAGGAAATTACAGGCTATTTCTAAAAACAGTCTTACTACTTATAACAAATGGGCAACAACAGAAATGTTTCAGTCTCTTTTCTCCCCAATTAACAAAAAACAAGCAGTTTCATAAATATGTGCTTGCTTCTATTACTTTTTTAATGTTTCCTAATGTGAATTACTTGGTAGCTATTTTCTCATAACACTATATGCTTAAAACATTTTCTTTTAATTAACCAACAGCAGAAATGAGACTTGTGTGGCTATGGAGATCCCAAAGCCTCCTTTAATGATGAAAGGACAAGTAATGTTACAAAAAATAAAATAAAAATGTTTCCCTGTCCCTTTCTAGTCAATAACAAATTGTTGTAAATATGCAGAACATTACTCTGGATGTTCCCCAGAACATCTATCCCAGGGGATCTGTTCCTCTCTGTATGTATCTAACAGGATGCTTCATAGGACTATCTCAAAGCAGTATCAAAATTGTAAGCTTCCCAGTGATCACATTTTCTCTTCCCATGACAGGTTACTTATTGATGAGCAAAACAATTACTTTGTCTTCCTTGTCCAAAAACTATTTATTCTCATTTATTCTTGTGCTCTACTAATATTTGTTGTATACATAAAATCTGTTTGACATGATCCAGAGGCTGGTTATTTCTAAGCTTGACAAGATTCTCACCCTTATCCCAACAGGGTGATGAATATATGCCAATCTGCAATCTGTGAAAAACTGACCAATATAAAATGAGTTTTGTTGATATTATAGTTCATGGTATTTCATAACTTTAAAATAATCTGTTAGAATATTTATCATGTAACATTAACCTTTTATTTGGCCTTCAGAAATACTTTAATGAGTTGAAAATTTTACTGCATAGAGCAAGGCAGGATATTGACAATGTCATTGACCTATAGTATCATTTCACTACATTCCCTCAGTTATATTAGACATCTTCTAGTGATGTTGACTATTTCATTGAATTTCTATCCTTCAGTTTTTTCATCTTTTATTTATCTTCCTTTACAAAATACTAAAGTAATCTTCATATGTGTGGCCTATATGATTGCTGGATTCCATTAGCCTCAGTCATAATATTTATTAGTTTCTTATGATGGTATGAGCAATTATGGGACAGTAAAAACAAAATATGATTGGTGTGGAACCATCACATTTTAATACAATCAAATTCCAACTTCCAGCATGATGCCATTGAATATAGAACCTGAAAATCCAATACTCTGCAATAGCTGTTACACAGAATTGGATACTGAGTGAGACAAAAACTAGGCAAGCTTTAGTGACAGGTTTAATTACAGATAAAACAAGTTTTAGAAATAACCATTTATACAAAATGGTGATGATCATGATCTTTCTTCATATAAGAACTGATATGGTATTCTAACATCTGAAAAGTTGAGTTTGAGCATGGAAAGAATAATTGCTTATGGTCGTAGAAAACAAAGTGACTCTTTCCTGGCATTAAGCATCATTCATTTTTTACACATCACCCAAGATTTCTTTCCTTTTTTAAAAATAATCTAGTGATAACATGACTCATTTCCTTCCTTCGTTCATCCCTTCTTTCCTTTCTTCCTCCCTTCCTTCCTTTTTTCATCCCCTCCTTCCTTCCCTCCAACTTCCCTCCACTTCCTCCCTCTCTCTCTCACTCCATCCCTCTTTCCATCTTCCCTTCCTCCCTTCCTCCACTTGGCTTCCTTGCCTGCCTCCCTTCTCTCTCACTCCCTCCATCTTTCCTTCCTTTCTTTAAGTATGGCCAGAAATGTTCTGACTCCTTTCATCAAGAGATAAATTGCAGAGTGTTGATGACATATATTTATTACTTTGAAAATTAGTGACTAAAGAAGTGATACCATGTGGCTTCTGACTCTAAGGTATAAAAAGGTCTAGAATTCCTGTCAAGTGTTGCTAAGATATTAGTTTTGTAATATCTATATGTGGTATGAGAGTTTTGTTATTATTTGCTAATAAAGGGCTCCTCTTTTCCCAAACCTTCCTCAGCATGTTATATAATTTCTTGTTGTTAATCATTTTAACTGTGGTGAGATGGGCTATTATGTTGGTCTTTTAAATTCTCATAGTTTGATGACTGAGGATGTTGAATATGTTTTAACATATTAGCTATTTTACTTTTCGTTTTGATTTGGTATATTGGTTTAATGTGTTCAGTAGTTGGGGGCATGGGACAGGGGTTGTTGTTGGCATTTGAGACAAGATATCATTATTTATGCTTGACTGTTAATGGAATTTGCTATGTATAAAAGGGTAGTCTCAAACTCATAGAGATCTTCTTGCCTCTGCCTCCAGCGTGATGGGATAAAGGGCTTGTATTATACAATGTCTAGTCTATTTCATTTTTGTATTTTACAATTGTGTTTATTATATATTAACTTTATCTGGCTCCCCAAAAAAAAACAAAAACAAAAAAACTCTGTCGCATCCCAGAAAAAATTACCTGGTACAAACAGTGACTTAAAGAAATGCTTTCTCAGTAGGAAGCATTTATAAAATGCAGAGATCTCAACAAGCCAAATGCTTATACAGGTAGGGGGACTCTCAGCACTAAGCTTCCGCCACTGAGGCAGATGAAACTCTGAATCACTTAAGAAAGCTCACTTTTTAAAAGCATACATATGCATACCGATGGCTATTTTTTCAAGAAAGGACATACCGGCCTCAAGTGTGGGCAGATAGGAGCAGAGGGAGAAGAAAGGGGCACGCATAAGACAGAGACCAGCTTCACCATGAAGACCCAACAGGCTGCAGCAACCAAGAAAACCACTGTGACCTCACAGAGCAGTGATCTGAGCTAGGAGAAGCAGCTCACTTTTCATGCATTTCTTACTCAGGAAAAATAAACATACCACTACTTCACATTCAGCACTCACACTGTCATTAGCTCATAGTATCAGGCAAGGAGAAACTGCTCATGTACAACCTACCTCTAGAATCTTCCAAGAACTTACAGTATCCTAACGCCTATAGATTTCCTCCTGTAATACTGTCATCAACACCACCCACATACAAAATGTTCACTATATTATATTATGTCTCTGAAATCCATCTGCACAGACAGGGTTCTAAGTTCCACTTTTTCATAAGTCTAATGTGGACACAGGAAAAAAAAAAACAAGCAATGTTTATTGTGCAATAGAAACTCTTGGGATCTTGGTTTAGAGTCAGTCTCCACAGTTATTCCAATTGCTCAGTTTAAACAAAAAGCAACAACCTATCTAGAAATTTCGTGATTGTTCTTCAAACACTAAAGTAATGATTCACGTTATAATTTTAAATATTTTAAAACTACATACTTTATATACCATTCTTTTATAAAACAATCAAACTAATTTGATTATCTGGAAGGAAATAACTGAAAGCCCTTTCAATGTATCTACAACCTCTGTAGAACCCCAAACCAAGAGGAGAGGGTGAAATAAAGACTCTCAGTTACTGCGACTATGTGAATTTAAGGGAGAAACGGTTCGTGCTTTTCCTGTTTCCTGTGGATGCAGAGCTTACAGGTGACATGGACAGAGACCTCTGGGGTGACTTTACATGGCTTTCACTTTGATTTGTTTCATTTTCATTTGCTTCTTCTCCAACTTCTTTTGTTCTCTACTCAAAGCAGCTTCCTCCAACCTGCGCTGTTTCTCAGGGTCTTCCTCATTCATGACCCGCTCCTTCTCGGCTCTTCTCCTCACGCCTAGACTGTGCAGCCTCCTGCCTCTGCACATATGTCAGCTTCAAGAAGTTCTCTTCCACTCGTGCCCGGTTCATATCTGCTTTCTGTTTACCTTCTCTGTTGAGTCGGAACTTTTTGGCTCTGTCAATAGAATAAATTACCATGTTCATCAGGGGTAGCAAAGCCTCCATATCCTTTGGGTACATGTTACCTGAGCCAGGCACATTAAATGTAAACAATAGTGTCCTCTTAGTGTCCAGCAGCTTCAAAGGCTGACCCTCCTCTTGCATAATCTTTGGACCAGAGAACTGGTCTGAAAAATGGACAGACTCAATCTTGGCAGCATAGTGTGTAAGAAAGTGAACCATCTTCGTATCCATCATCCCCTCTGTAACTTCTCCCATTTCTGACAGGATGGCCAAATAGTCTGGCAGTCCATATTTTGCTCCAGACTTAGGTTTATCACTACAAAACTCACTCAGATCCTGCATCTCTTTCTGAAGTTGCACCAAAGCTTTTCGAGTGCCAACAGCAAACACATATGTATCCATATCCTCATCATTCATGGTTACTTTTATTTGCACTTGATCACTCACTGGCCTCATCATCCGGGCCAGGACATTAAGCAAGTCTTGCCTCTTAAGGAACCTCAGCTGGATAAGCATGCCTTCACAGCACACTCCGCCCGAACACCACAGGTTATAAATGTGTTCGTTCTCCTGATTCAACTTTCCTGTGCTTGTGGCCTCTTTGTTAGTCCCATCATCCCCCACTAAGGTAAAATTGCTCTCCAAAAGCTCTCTATGAGAATTAAACCAGGCCTGAGCAAGTCGGCTATTCTTATTCTTCCCAATGATGTAGTTCATGATATAGGCAAGCAGATCATCAGGATCTCTAGATAGTAACTCTCCCAGCTGTTCTGGAGATGTGCAGGAACATCAACGATGGTTATTGGGTCTTTATTTTTGCTAGAAAAGGTATCTGGTTGTCTTCATAACCCTCAAATTCTTCATCATCATATGGCTCACTTTCAGGATCTCCCTGGGTATCTGCATCTTCAAAATTTCCTTCTTGGTTTTCATCCTGCCCTTCCAACTCCACAGTGGTCTCATCTTCATCATCTTCAGTGGTTATCACTCGCTGAGGAGATTCCGTAACAGAATCTTCCATGACATCCTCAAACTCAGCGAAATCATTATCATCATACTCTACTAGGTCTTCCTCATCCTCAAAATCATCAAACTTGGCTTCACAGACACTCCCGAACACCAAAAGCACAGCACAGAGAGCATAGAAAGCTTTCATTGCGTCTTAAAAATAAGTGTACCCGAGGCTGCAACCCAGCCTGGGGCTTCTGAGGCCACCACCTCCACCCAGCCTGCCTGGGTCTGGCCTCCGCCTTCAGGTCGCAAAGATTTTTGAGGGCCGCAATGACACTGGGACATAGACCAGAACAGGTAGCTCAGTCACAGCACCCTACAATTCACGTAGCTTCCTGCACCTTTTCATAGTGAGTTGAAATTACCTAGATTGAAATTTATTAATGAAAGAGTTTGCTATTTCCTTGATTGTTGTTCTGCTTGGCAGGATTCTTTTCTTCCACATTTAACAAGAAATTACTGGTTTATAATGAAGATAATGGATTCCTTCATGGCTTTTTAAAATCTACATAATTTTTTCATGAAATATTTTTCATGTATCTTTTGAATGAGATACTGCTCTTTTTCTTCCTTGGTTAAGAGGAAGTTTTCTCTTAATTAAATTTATCAGTGCTGCCATGATGTTCATGGCCATGCGTAATGTGTGACATTGTAAAATATGCCTATGGCCCATCAATTTTGAGTGATAACTTTTCTGGTTTCAAGTTGTTTTTCTTGTTACTCCATAAAAAAATCCCTGAATTGGCAACTTCAGGTATAACAGGTCCATTTTTTCTCACAATTAGAAAGTAACATACTTTGTAGTTGAGAAATAGAATGACAGACATTTATATCAGCTGATCAGAACCTCTGTGCATCCAAGAATGGATCAAAGTTCTTTCTAAGATAACTTCTTAAGTGTCTTGGACTGAAGCCCAGAGAATAATTGCCTGTTTCTTTAGTATGTGTGTATATTCTTACTTCAATTAATCTGATCAGAGTAGTCCCTTCACAAGCATTCGTAGGCACTAGTCTAATCTAATTAATCCCACATAGGAGTACCCTAAGGCATGTCTTGTAGGTAATTCTAGTTCAAAATATGCCCTTCCATGGTTTGCTGCTTTATTTTTGTTTTTTAGAGATTTTACAGAATGTCTAGTGGTATTATTATGTTTCTACCTTTATTTATACATTGTTTTTCCTTACATCTTAAATATTTAGTCTCACAACATAGTTAAGATTTTGACAATGATATATGGTAACATCTACTTGGTTTTCTAAATATTCCCTGTGTTTATGTATCTCCTTCTTTGTATTGTTTTGAGAATTTTTACAAATAATTCTATTTAATAAATTATTTTTAGAATTTAACTGCTTTTGCCCATGGATTCTTAGGTTTAGATTATGTAATGTATTCCAGTTTCCTAAGACTTTTTGGTCATTTTATTTAATTTTTCTTCTATTTGCTGTCTTAATATATTATATTCTCTGGCTTGTCCTCCACATCTGAGATGTGTTTTGCTTGAACTTGTATGTTGATTAGGCTTTTTATTCTACATTATTTGGTAAAGGATATTTTCTGTTTGGACCTTTTAAGAATCCCTATTTACTTCCTGAATATTTTCCTAATGGTTTAAAATTTCTCTTCCATTTTTACTAAACATTCTGTGTATTTTGATAACTTCTTGTTTAGGTCCAATTGTACATTTTATTACTTCATTTTATTAGCAGTACTTTAAGAAGGACTCTGAAATCCTTGTTGTTTCACATATTTCATAGTCATTGGATTATATTAATGGTATATCTTTAACTTGTAGTAATATGCTGATTTTTTGGCTCATGTTTCATTGTGTTCTTTTTCCTTCTTTTTGTTTTCTTGTAATTTTAGGAGTCAAAAATAGTCCTTCACATAGATTAATATTTCTGATTATATTTCAATCAAGAATGTTACTATACAATAAGAAAGATTGGGAATTTTGTTTTTATCCCCAGTGAAGGTCAAAGACAGCATTATTATGGTACTGCTTAGGGAAACACATTTTATAGTTTCTTTAAGTAGAGAAAGGAGGGAAGAATTGATAAAGGGTAAAATATGGAACAAAGTAAGAATGGGAAGGACAGTATATAGGTCCAAGTTGTAAAAAGTAATATGTGAAACAAAATTTAGGTATAAAAGAAGGAAGGAAAATAGTAAAATGTTTTCCTAGATAGAAACAATAATTCAAATGACCCACTAAAGTTCAAATTTGAAAAACTAAGAAAGAACAGTAAACATAATCAATAGTATTAGAAATAAAAATAGTTTTTCTTTTTTTTGAATGATCATTTTTTTTCTCTCTTCCACTAATTTTCTGTCTCTCCAAAGATGGGAAATGGTCTACTAACATCAGTAATTCAACCAAGTTAACTTTGAGAACTGTAACAAACCTGCCCATCTGAGTTTCCCCATAAGCCATGGATCAAATGTTAACACTTGAGAAAATCTTGTTTTTTTTTTTTTCTGGTGAATATTTCTCTTCTTAGATTAGGGTCCTTAGTTCCCCTTTTTACTTTTATCCCAAGTTTGTTTCTATGTCTGGTATATGTCTAATCCAGATATCATTGAACATGGAGATGGCAGACGGGTATTATCTATTTCTTTTTCTTTTACCTATTTTTTTTGTAACTTGTAGGTAATTAGTTCTATTTTATAATAAATAAATGTTGAATTTTTATTTATTAAATACTTAAAAGAATCCTGTCTCTATTACATTGTACATTTTATATGCTGTTCCTATTAAGTCATTATTAAATTCTTCATATTTGTGAATTTCTTTTAGATACTATTGAAAATTATGTTGTCATTTTGAAATTGGCAGGTGAATGGACAGAACTAGAAAACCGTCCTGAGTGAGGTAACCTAGACCCAAAAATACAAACAGTGTATGTACTCACTCATAAGTGGCTATTAGATATAAAGCAAAAGATAACCAGGGCACAATTAACAAACCCTGAGAAGCTAGGTAAAAAGGAATATCCTAAGAGGGACATGCACATAGGATCCCAGGAAGGGGAAACAATAAAGATCTCCTGGGTAAACTAGGAGGGGGTAGAATGGAGGGAATGGGGAACAGAAACATGAGGGATCCAGATAGTCAAATTGGTGGAGGGATTGATGGGGAGAGCAATGAAAGAGATATCTTCACAGAAGAAGCCATTATGGGTTAGGAAAAAGCTCAGTGCTGGGGAAATTCCTAGTACTCCAAAAGAATGACTCCAGCTCAGACACATACCAGTAGTGGAAAGGGTTTCTGAAGTGGCCTTCCTCTATAATTTGATTAGTGACTATCCTAATTGTCATCATATAACCTATATCTAGTAAGTGATGGAATCAGATACAGCTAAGCACTGGGTTGAGCTCCTGGAGTTCAGCTGAAGACAGGGAGGAAAAATCATATGAGCAAGAATGTTCAAGATCATGATTGCAAAACCACAGAGATAGCTGACCTGAGCTAGTGGGACCCCAAGGATTCTAGGCTGACAGCTGGGGAGCCTGCATGGGACTGAACTAGCACATCTGAATGTGAGTGACTGTTATGTGGCTGGCTTGATCTGTTTGGGGAGGGGACTGACTGTGGACCAGGACTTATCCAGTGCATGAACTGGCCTTTTTAATCCCATTCCTTATGGTGGGAGGATAACTTTCATAGCCTTTATAAGGGGGGAGGGGTTGGTGCTGCCTAAACTTGGTATGCCAGGATTTTTTTACTCTGAAGGAAGGAAGGTCTTAAGCTCTCTTAGAAGCAGATAGGGGTGAAATGGGGAGGGGAATAAGAAGAGAGGGAGGGTAAAATAGGGTTGGTATATAAAAAGAAAAACTTTTTTTTAAAAATAGAGAAACAACCAAAAATAAAATTATCTTTAAAGTTTTAAATTGTTTGCTTGGCTAGGAAGATAGCTTATCTTTTATGAGTACTGTCTGTATAGTAACATAATGAGAACACATATAAAAAGATGGGCTCAGAGGTATATGCCTTTCACTCCTGATATATATGGACTTATTCTTTGAGGATTTCATAAATATATTTTGATCTCATTGCTTCCCATCATCTACCTTCCTTACTTATTCAAGTTCTTGTTCTCTCTTAACAAAAATGAAATCTTGGAGTCCAAAATGTTCAGTTTGGGTAGACTAACTAATCCTAATGATGGTGAGTGCTCTGGAGTGTGATTGATATACCTAGTGACACTTCATTGAAGACAGTTGATTCTTTGAAATTGTATGCTATAATTTTATTTTTTTACTATGACATTAATGTGGAGATATCTAAGAACCATGCCTTTAATCATCTAAGATGAATTCCTAAGGCTTTTGCAAGAAATAAATGAGGAGAAAGGCTCTCTCCAGATAGACTGGCCGATTCCTGGATTAGCCAAATCATAAAGAAGTGTACAGAAAATCAGTAGTGCATAAGTCATGGATTTCTTGTTTCTGGCCTATAGCTACTTTCATAACCCAGAGAAAGTAGAAAGGATGGAGAATAGTGTCATTGATGATGATTTCAAAATTTAGAACCTTGTTCTTTACTCTGAAGTTAGAACCCTATTTTTTCGATGAATGAATAAATTTTCCTCAGTTTTTCACTGTTCAATTGCATGTTCAATTCTAATTGAAGGATGATTACTTGTTTTATCAGCTTTGAATTTATGTAATTCTGACTCTCATTCTTATGTTATCATGATTATGTGATGATAATTTTCCCCAAATTATTTGAAAAACACAGAGTGATGTATTATCAACCAAGCCATGTATAGTGGAGTTATGGGTCATAATATTTCAGTGTGGAACTACATATTTGTCTTAGAAAACATTAGGAATAAAAATGAAGGAATCTGTTCACCATATTTTTAAAAGTTCCAAGTCATATTGGGTAATTCGGTGAGACTATATCTCATAATAGCAAGTAAAATCTCACTGGTAGAGCACTAGCATATTCAATGCCCTATATTTAATCCACAGGATAAGATAATCAGGCATATGCACAAACACACACACACACACACACACACACACACAAAAGAAACTTTAATGTATTTAATGTTTAAGGAGTAGTGTCTAGCATAAATTTGTTGGCTTTTCCAAGGTTTTCAAACTGGGTTATTTAAAATAAACAGATATCTAAAAAT